CTCCTAGCAGGTAACGCAATCGGGCGTGCCAAAGGATCTAACGACAGGTGAGCGGTACCCTCGAATTCCCCTAAACCCGGGCTAAACACAGACGGATACAGGTCACTAACATCGGCTTCACTCTGACAAGCGTACACAAAACGATCATGGTTAAAAATGACAAAGCCAAGAGATAAAATCGAATCAATGCCGAGAATCGGCGTGAGATCCTCATCCACGATCACGAACTGCAGACGATGCGAAACACCGTCTCTCGGATTGACCACTTCAATTGTCGCTGAGCCCTTTGGCTTGAGTCTGGAACCATTCCACATGCGCAAATAATCTTGATCCGATTGAATTTGTACGCCGCGGCAGTGCTTTCTGGGCAAAATATTGATCGTCGCGCCTGTGTCTAACTGGAATCGCACAGACCGTCCCTCGATCAGAAGACTTGCATAGACACACTTCTGCGACGCTTTCCGAGACACATTACCAATCGATTGTTCGGTGTCTTCTGTTGATTTGTCTGGAACGAGTGCACTGACATCTGTCGACTGACAGCAGCGGGCGAAGTGATTGCGCTTCCCACATTTGACACAAATGCGGCCCCACGCCGGACACTGTTCACGGTTCCTCGGATGTCGTGTTGCACAGAAGTTGCAGGGCTCCTGTCGCGCGGTCGTGGCCCTCGTAGTTTTGCTCCTGGAAACGGCGCACAACTCTGACTCACCTGCGATTTTCATCTGCTGGAACTGATAGGCAGTGGAGGACTCACTGTTACAGATGTCGATACATTGCTGCAGAGATAGGTTGCGCTTTCGTAATAGTCGCTTCGTTAAACCTTCGTCATTGATCCCAAGAACAATGCGGTCCCGTATGAGACTGTCCGCCATGCATTTACAAAAACTGCAGGATCGGGCCAAAATCTTTAGCTCAGTGACATACGTGTCAACGGATTCACCTGGCCGCCTGTTCCGCGAAAAGAAGAGGTAGCGTTGAAATGTCTCGTTTGTTTGGCCTTCGCAGTATTCACTGAACTTCTCAAGAACTGTCTCCAGATTGTTGGCATCTTCGCTCTTGTCGTAGCACAATGTCTCTAGCACGCGGCGCGCATCGTCTCCTGCTGCGTGTCGAAACATGGCCAAGCGGTACGTAATCGGTTGTTTGTCCAGACGCGATAAAGTGCAGAAATCCATCCATTTGCTCTTCCACAAACGCCAGTTGCTTGCCAAACTGCGTTCATCCATGTTCAGCGGGGCAGGCATTTGAATAGCCGGTGCAGCTCCAATCATCGTCTGGGTGGTACTAATGTTCATCTCCTTCTCTGATAAAATGTGAAAAGTCGGTCCTTCAGGGACAAAACGTATATTCTGCAAACAACAGGACCAGGCGAAAACGGAGACAGACGGCGAGTGAAACATATCGGTATATACAGCTAGCTGGATCCATAATTAACGACCTTTGTTGATGCATGACGTTTCTCCTTTGATTCAATCAAACAAACTCACTCCATTGCGTCCAGCTGTTTGCCAATCAGTGTGCATGCGAGAAACGTGTGAACGTCCAATCGGCTGCCGCCTTTGCTTGCGGCAGCCTAACGGCTTCCTTGCTGGGCTGGCACCGCACGTTCGTTCGAGTGTATACTCCCATCACAGGTTCTGAATCAATTGTCCTTTCAATAGTCTTTCTTTGGCGACCGCATCTAATTCGGGTAGCCCAGTCGTCAAGTTACTATCCAGTTGCTGGAAAAATGTCATCAAATCGTCCTGTTCTTCCCATTTTGCTGAGTGACATTTTTCCAGCGCCTTCTGTCGGTCCATCTCCTTTGCTAACTCCGCGCACAACGCTGCCTTTACTTCGTTAAACGAGCACCCAGCTTTCGACTTCCGCGCCAGCAGGTACGTCGCTTTTGCTCTTCCGGATAACAGCGCGCCCTAGGCCGTAAGCAGGTTTGCATCCCCTTTGAGTCCGTTGCAAGGCCCTATTCCTTCGAACTCATCCAACCAAGCCTCCGCGTCTCCATCGGAAAATTGAGCAGGCCACGGCACTTTCATCCTGGTCAGGGCGCCAGCGTAGCAAGAACGACACGGTAGGGGAGAACGCTGTTTATTGCACGCGGAGAGGTTCACACACATGTCCCACGCACACACACAAATATAGCCGCGTTTCCCACTTACGACGCACCACGTTCCGCCGAGTGAAGTGGTGTCCACTACGCGCCATTAGGCTGATCCGACCTGGACATTGAATGTGCCGTTTTCCGCCCACATTTCTGCTCCCTTGCGTCGCAGCCTATCCAGACTGGATTCGTACCAAAGCTCTCGACTTGCTTGCTCGGGGCTGTGTTGCCCTGATCGGGCCGATTTCTGAAGCCGTAGATAAAGGCATAGCTCTTGGGAAAATCGGGCTCCCTTTCATGTCGCCTCTTGTTCTTCTCGGCGTGGTCGCGGTATCGTTTGTCGCTGACGACCCATTCCCGGCTTGCATCGTAGGCCACGAGCTAGGTTGACGATTTCCGTTCCCAGTCTCCGCGTTAGTCCCGATCTCCTGCTGCTTCCGGGGCATTTCCGTGTGAACTGAGACCCGCGCCCCTGCACTAATAATCGTCACTCAGGTCTTCTTCGTCAGCATCATCAGGTGCTTCATCTTTGTGTCTGTAGGGGAGTACCACAGTCAGTAACTTGGAAAATAGCATCTGGGTCTGGTCCAGTGTCAAATACCGCATCATCATCCATCTCAACAAACTCAGCAAAATATATTCCGCCGAATTCTACCAATGGAGATGGAATGTCTACTAAGGCAACGGCATCTCGCTCGAGAGATTGAACAAATCCGGCTTTTCTGTATTATTTCTGGCTGAGCTTTGAACCAAGCAGAACTTATCCCAAGCAGTAACTGAAGCAACACATGCAATTCCTTCCGCAGGAAAATTAGTAGTATACAACTTTGCCATAGCCCACTGCATGAACTGGGCTCGGTAGTGTATACTGAATATTTGATTGATCCCTTGGTCCAGAGGTTCAATTTGTGAGGTCATGTTTGGAGGCAGAAACATAAGCGGAATTTTTGTGAAATTTTTTTGCATAGGTGTGACTAGGACAGTTGTCGACTGATAGGATAATGAAGCTTTTCTTCATCATTATTTTCTTATCGATACTAGTGAGCCAAGCAGATCGGTTTGATCTCCATGTGATTGGTAGGTTTTCAGGATTCATATTTTTGAACGCACATGATCAAACTGATTCACCAATGACAAGGGCCTTTAATTTCCACTTAGTTAAGCTGGCGCAAAAGAGAACTGTGAAACTTATATTTGTCACCCTCTGTAAAAGGACTTCTGTTAGGCATCGTCTTGATAAAGAGACCGCACTCGTCAGCGTTGAAGATGTCGTCATCGTTGAAGCCCTTGCTGAAGTTGGGATATTTTTCGATGACGTCTTAAACAAACTCTTCAGGCACTTTGTTAGATTCACCACACAAAACTCATGGGGAAATTTCATATCGGATTTTAAATTTCTCTAGCCAACTATTGCATGTCTGGAAATTTGTAACCCAAAATACTTATGTGAACCTCTTAGCAATTTCATAAATCACCAGCCCAGAAATTTGAGTGTTAGCTGCCCCGCGTAGGGGTGGGCGTCCTCGCGGTATACACAGCCCGCGCGCGACTGGTGGTGGTCGCGCGGCAGCGAAGCGCCGTTACGGCGTATAAGCTGACACCTTTCTTCTTTCTTCTTCTTTCTCATCTATTTGAACCAGCGAAACGTAACCTCAATGACTTCATTGTGTCGTATCTCTCCAAGTACTCACGTTCATCTCTTTGGATTTTGCTAACCGTTGTCCTGCTACTTCCAATATGCTTTGCCGTCTTTCTTTGGACACTGCTTTCAAGAAAATGTACCCGACTAATTCTTACATTTAAAGTCAACTGAGCTCTTTTCTTTGGACCATAATGTTGTATTACTCGTAATGACCGATCCAAATTGTTCAAAGCACGCAGTGGATATAAAGTCTACGGTTCCAGTCACATAATATTTATTACATACAATAAGTAACCTCAATTGGTTTCACCCTCATGCCGACACCAAATAGAGCCGGAGATATACTCCACAATTAATGTGGGCGTAAACGTCAATCTCGTCGCAATCCAAGATGCTACTGAACTGGTGCGTAATCCTGGGTTTTGGACAGTCACACAGAAATAGCATCTTGATCAGGATTTTAAGCTGCAAAGCTACACGGTGATAAACAACGGTGAGTATACAGTGTCGAATTGAAATAGAGGAGCGTGACGCATCGTCTAATAGCGAAGGCCGCTGACAAAATATACCGAAGTTATGCAAATAAGAGAATCGGGAGCGTTTCACCAGTCGGTAACGCGAAAATGTAAATTGAAACCGTAGACGAGGAAAGAAAAATCCTTTTACGTAAAAGCAGGATGTCCCAAATTCCGCAATAAACATTTATTGCATGTTGTCTTATGGAATTTCTACCTTTAAAATGCTTCAATATGCATTTAAATAAAAGAATACAATTCTGTGCATGAACGCAAATAAATGCTCCGTTGAGAATGATAAAAAAGGCAAAAGCGGACGTTTCTGATGAATGAATTGCCGCCAACGTGAAAGGTGTGCGTGCATATGACTGTAAACCATATGCTGCGTTCCCAGAGGCAACAGTTAGAAAGTATGACCGAAAACAAAAATCTATACCTTGTAGACAAAATTTAGGAAAACGTTTATTAAAATGAAAATAAAGCAATGTCAGTAATGCGAGGAAAAATTACTGTAGTAAGTCGCTGTGCACATATAAATAACAGTTGTGTTTTCCACCAAAAATTTTATATAAAGACCATTCTTAAATCCGGCTGAAATACAGACTGGTGGGACACTGCCGAAAGAACCGTGCATTCCATCGGCTCCAAGCATTTTCGAGATCTCCAATCAGACACTTTACTGCTACGACAGGAACAAGGCAAAAAGGTTGCAAACCAACAATGCAGGCAACATTCAACTCACTCAAGTGAACAGACTTTTCGTGCACACGGAGCTTAACCAACAGATAAAAGGCTTTCTCACAGTATTTGCATTCGTGAGGTCGCTCATCTGAGACGAATAAGAAAAATATGATAGTAAAATACAGCGCAACAGAAAAATAATGTTGTAGAGGAAATGTGATGTGATGCTGTAAGTACAATCAGGAAGACTTTTAGCGACTGACCAAACGATGATGAATATGAATAAAAGGCTAGAATAATCATTATACATAATTAGACACGTTAGCTGCAGGTGGAAAACACAGACATTGTGTCGCAATACAAAAGAAAAAAAACATGCAACAGCGGCATGACGTCAACTCCTCCTTCGCCACAGACGTCCGGACATTGTAGAGCTGGCAGGGGATCTGAACGCTCAAGTTGGAAAATTATTCACTGTTGACGGTGAAGGCTCCCGTAATGATAACGGTGAGCGGTTACTTCATTTGTGTGAAGATGCCCACCTATTTCTTGCGTGCACTAACATCCCACACAGCACCCGCCGGAGGGTGACTTGGCGCCCACTATCCTTGGACGCAAATCGATCACATTGCGATCAGTTACCGTGAGAGAGGTTACGTCCAGAAATGCTCGATTTGGAGCATACCCTTGGACAAAGACCATGCACATGTATGTACTAACCTGCGGATGCCTTTTGGCGGACGAGCACGACGACGCTGTGAGTGTATTGACACCAGCCAACAGGCGTAGCCAGCTCTACTAAATGCGAATCAAAATACGCTGACATGCGGGTTCAGTAAGCGGTCACTAGATACAATTGAAGGTCAATGGCCTCATGTTGACCAGATCATACCAAACAGCAGGCATATCTCATGTTTTAAGTCTAATAGCCAACATGAACACTGCGTCTATTCGCAGTCTCTGGAACTCAGCGATGCTTGCCAGCACATTCCGGCTTGAAGCGAACAAAATGAGACTCGCAAAAACCTCAGGGCAAAATTCCGCGCCAGTTCGAAGAGAGACCGCGAAGCTTCGTGGCCTCATCATACGTCAGAAATGGAAGCGACCGCTGCCCTGGGTAACCAACGGAAATTAATCGGTCTGATACGGGAAACGGGTGGCAAGAGACCTGGTGTTATTGAAAATATAAGTGATGAGAGTGCACAGCCTATCCGAAAATTGTCAAAACCCTTGCAGCATAGGGCTGAGCACTCTGAAAGGCAAATTAATCGGCCATAATTGTTAGCTTCCTCACCGGCCAATGATCACCCTGCTCCCTGAGCAGTCTCTTTGAATTCGCCCCCTCGCTCAGAAGTCAAACGCAAGATTACACTGCAGAAGTTGAATAAAGCCGTCGGACAAGGTGATATTCCTCCAGCCATCTTCAAATGCGGAGGACCTGCCATTGAGAATGATTTACACGAGTTACTATTGAAATTGTGGGAGCAAGTAACTGTTCCAACCGACTGGAGCGCTTCATTATTGCCCCAATCCTCAAGGAATGCGGCAGCAATAGAGGAATCAGTCAGATCTCAATCGCATCTAAATTGATTGCCTCTGTAATCTTTCATAGACTGCCTAGCGATCGTGAGTCAGATTCGTGAAGAGCAAGCCGCGTTTCGTCGAGGTCGTAGCTGCATCGACCACATTTGTTGGAACACCGTCACACATATCGGCGGCCCAGCGTAGTCGTGTTCCTCGACATCAAAGGTGGCTTCGATTTGGCTGATCAATGTGCTCTTTGGGGCTTACGGCAAGCTGGGCTGTATTTCCATATCTCCATCGGTGTGAAATAACTGTGCCCGCTGTCGCCTTTCCCGCTCAAATTGGCTATTAACGAAGTCACGAAGATCGCGTGCATAGGACACAAGTAAAATGTAGAGTTGCGTCCAGGAGAACGAATTCTTAAGTCGGAGTATCCTGACGATATTGCTCTCATCTGCGAAAGCTCACAAACGTGCCAAGCTACAAAGCACAGATTGCCACTGGCTGTTAGTCGCTTAGGGCTTTGCGTCGCACCTTCGAGGTGAAAAACATTCCTTCAAGATTGGCATGGACCGCCTCCTGTGCTGACACTTAGTGGGGATCAGCAAGAAGTCGTTCAAAAATTCAACTACCTGGGAAGTTGTATCAGCGCCCTTGGGATCGAAGATGAGAGCACCAACCGTATAGCAAAAGCTTGAGGGGCTTTGCTAACCCCCAACACCTATGTCGACGGCGCGACATCACTCTCAACCTGAGGGGTGGAGTGTACAATGCTACAGTACGTTTGTGAAATCTGGGCTCTTAGAACAGTCGATATAAAGAGGTTAGTTAGGTTCGATCACCGGTGCCTTCACAGTTTGGCTCACATCTGGTGGGAACACCGCGTGCATAACGATCGGGTTTGACGTCTTGTTTAGGACACATAAAGAAGAAGTAAAGAACCGCTCAGCATCGTTATTTCATGCATCAGGCTCCGATGGCTCGGCCACGTGTTGCGGATGCCAGCCCAAAGACTCTAGGGACGTGTGTAGTTTGCGCGCCGCGGAGGTGGATGGAAGAAGAAGAGGGGTGACCAAGCGATGACTTGGTCGAGAGAAATGAAGGCACGCACTGCGAACTGGCCCATGCCACAGAATGTCCGATCAGTGCAATCGCATAGAGGGAACCGCATCATTGAGGTGACCAACAGCGTAGGCTGTTCGCTTCGCGTTCAAGTAGGTGCGATTTGCGTCTCCCAAATCATTCTAGTGATCTACACTGAGTACATCATTCACTTCTTCGATCCCCACAGCCGTGCTAACTAGACAGCCTGCACATCCTTTACATAAGAGTACTAATCGTTGGGTACACGTTCAAAAACGTCAGTTCATGTGACACACGCATGCCTTCGACGTTGTAACGATTTCATTAAACTACTTCACCGTTTTTTATTTGGCGAAGAACCCGTACTCCTGTGATGAAGAGTTGATCTACTACGCCGTTTGACAACGAGCAGTCGTGATCCTGCAACGTAGGTACAGCTTTTGAGAACAAGCTCGGTTCTCCCTATTCAGCGAAGGATCTCGTTTCAGTAGTTCTTATGAGATCATTGTACAAATAAAAATGCTTGAAGCATTACAATGGGTTTACAAAACAAGAGTAGAGTTGCTGGACTCCAAACAACCTGCACTGTTCGCCAATCCAACTGCAATCCATGACGACGGTGGTGTACACGCACATAGATGCACAACCCACGCGTACAGAATACACAACGGTTAGTCCGGCAAACAGGGTGACGGGGCCAAAACAGTCACCGCTTGTGATCGAGGTGCACAGCGCTCATGCCCAAATTACGGACATGGCAGGAGAAGGGCTCGCACCAGCGCTCACAGAATCAGTCTGAACGAAGAGGCCTCAGTCGCCGTTGATAAGTGTTTACCAAGTCCTTTCGAGTCGCGTTTCGGCACGGCCTAGAAAAAGTTGAAGGGGTTGTGGTTACTACTTGGGCTACGTGTTCCAAAATAAAGCTGTTGTCAATTCTAATAGTGCATATGCATAACGCGGATGAGCAATGTTCTGCTATGCGTTTGTCAATCGTCTAGTCGTGTGACGGAGGTATCTCACACCCCCACAGTTACAAGCGAATTGGTACACGAATCGGGGTAGACCGAGAGTCAATCATTGAAAGCCGAATAATAAAAGGGGTAATTTCGGCAACAACATGCCAGAAGGCAGCTAGGGACCGCAGGTGCTAATTATTGGATCTAACCCCATGAACCCCATGCTACAACGGCATACGGTGCACTGGTCGTCAAGTGCTACAATCTGGACAAACAAAGTACTATTTCTTGCCAAAAAGGAGAGGTGCGTCTTAGGATTGTAGAGCATGCTACATGTCAATATAAACATTAGCATGTGAGCAAAAGACTCTCACATTGATCGAACAACAGGCTCAAATCACGTAAATGCATAAAGACTTGGTGCTCATAACAGCATTCAAAGAGCAAGCACTGAGAACGACCAGTTGCTCCCGAAGCATTGAGGGTTATGTAGTAATAATAATAATAATAATGCGTATATTTCTCCTGATGCGAGAAACTGTGCCTGTACCGGCACAGATAAATTCCTACAGAAGTATCCATGCACATGCATGGGTGACATGCATAGGCAGAATATTGGAGTATACGATACATGTAAGTAACTTTCTGGTGGATGGTAGAATCGAAAGACTAGTTTTTAAAGCATTTAGGTTTAGACGCTTTTGGGCCCTTCTTAGAATAGCTCATCGAGAGATTTTGCCCATGTGAATATAGTGATTACAGTATTTGATAAAGGTAACTGGATATTCTGCTTCTAAATGTTGCTACATTGTCACATGACCTAAGCGTTATCGGCAGATTACCCCACAGATAGCTATATCTGAAGAGAAAGAAATTAGAGCGAACGTTCGTTCTAGCCTTCGATAAAACCAGTGTAAAATTTACCTTGCGAAGCGATCCAGTTCAGAAAGGTTGTAACTAGAGTGTAGGCAGTTCGGAATAGGTGTTCCTTTAGTGGCAAGTTGAAAGGCGGCAACAAGTTGTGATTCAATCTTCGAATCCAAAGTGGTTCGAGTTTATTAGAAGGATGGCAATCAGACATTCAGCGGCGCCATCGGATGTCACAACCTTACGGTCATTCCTTGGGATGGTGAGTCACTATGGTGGATTTCTACCATGCATGCAACGCTCGCGTCATACTCTAAACCACCTGCTGATGAAAGACGTCGAATGGAAATGGTTTCCACAGTGTCAACAGTCGTTCGAGCAACTGAAATCTCTGCTGAAGTCGGACTTATTGCTTACGTATTATAATCCGAAGCTGGAAATTATCGTGGCCATGGATGATTCAAGCTATGGAATTCGTGCTGTCATTTCACATCGTTTTCCAGATGGATCCGAAAAGGCTATAGCACATGTTGCACCAGCGTTGACGGCATCCGAGAAGAATTATAGTCAGATTGAGAAAGAAGCGTTGGCTATCATCTTTGCCATGCAGAAGTTCCATAAGATGGTAGATGGTCGACGGTTCACGTTGGTGACTTATCACAAACCGCTTCTGGCAATCTTAGGATCAAAAAAGGGCATTTTGGCACATACGGCCAGT